AAGCAAGGGCATAAAAAATTACCTGTACTGACGTTACTCTCGATGTGATCGGTGGTATATGAACCACACTCTGCCCATAACCGTGCTCATACGTTATAAGCCCTATTCACTCTGCGTGGGAGCTATAGCTAGGGGGCGCCTTGAAAGGCGTGCGTAGCGCCACTTGGGGGGTGGCGGGTGCGCAACGTTGAGAGTCGTGGTGGTGGTAGTGGTTAGAAGTAAGAGGAAAAAATGCACCTACTTTCTGTCTGCCTTCAGGCGACACGGCGCAGTGCCTATGAGAGTCGTAGCAGACAGCAGCGCCTAATAGGTGACCAGTAAAAGGGCGAGGAACTGTGGGATACACCGTTTGCTGCCGGATTCCAGTTCAATGAGAAGAGACGATGGCGAACCGCTCCGCCGTAAGCCTCAGATTATTCAGGATTTGCGCGCACGCTCGCCCGTTTATCTTTGTCCTGCTAAACCATGGTCGGTTGTTCATCCATTGCCTGCTCCAACCCGAGCGTGAAAGGCAAACGCATGTATCGATTCCCATCAAACGAAGAAAGAAAAAAAAATGAGGTGGGCAGCAGCTGCGAAGAGAGCCGCAGCGACAAGTAGCTTTTGGATACAGAACGTTGGATCCAGAGTGTGCGAAGTTCGTTTTATCACAAGCACGTGTGTTTTCCTCACTAATAGAGAACTTACGCATGCATTGATGCGAATATTATATCCAGAAATGAATTGTCGCGCAGGTGCACCTAGCAAAGATATTAAGGGAATGCGGGCCAAATCTACCTGTCATATGAGATGAGAGTCGGCATTGCACCCATATGGATGACAAAAAAATTCCGGAGCCCTCCACTATGGCGTCTTTCATAATTATATCGTAGTTTTGGCACGTTAAACCCCACATATCAATCAATAATTTGTAGCCTTGTTCATAACACCCCAAATATAAGGGTGTGAATGGGGTGTTTCGAGAAAGTTTCATTCACAAACACCACAAAACTTAAAAAGTGTAAAAAGGGTGTTCATATAGGTGCTTTTATTCTGTACTCTCGTTTTACACCCTTTAAGGTGTAAACATTTTTGCAGTGTAGCAGCACCCTGGGTGCGTTTTTTCTCTGAGTTTACCTTTTCAATCACCCTCGTTCCACAACCAGCTCATGTGCATTGGCATCTAGAAACAACAAGAGCTTGGATAGTGTTTATTGCTTTTCATGGGCTTGACTACGTAATGTAGTAACATCTTCTTTCTCATATGAGCCACAAGTTCTCAGAAGCCACGTGCTCCCAGAAAGTTATGTTCCGTTAGTGCACAACCCGTACACCACACATGAGCCTCTAGCCTCACTGGTGGTACTTGGGGAGAAGGTAAGGAATTGGGTGTTGAAACACCATGGGGCATACCCCCTTTAACAACAGTGGACATAGCCTGCACTAGAGGAAGAGAAGGACGAGGAATATCGTGTGGCACATGCGGTAGTTCTCAGATCTACATCACAATAAACGGCAGCGTCGAGACACTTTGCTCTTCATCTCCAGGCGTATTCGTCCTTTGAACCAGGTTTTCTACGGCCCCACCACGGTGGTCTAGTGGCTAAGGTACTCGGCTACTGACCCGCAGGTCGCGGGATCATATCCCGGCTGCGGTAGCTGCATTTCCGATGGGGGCGGAAATGTTGTAGGCCTGTGTGCTCAGATTTTGGTGCAGGTTAAAGAACCTCAGGTGGTAGAAATTTCCGGAACCCTTCACTAAGGCGTCTCTCATACTTATATGGTGGCTTTGGGACGTTAAACCACACATATCAATCAATCAATCAACCTAGCTTTCTACGAAAGAAATCTTTGGATTTTACATTGGTTCGGAAACTCGACCCGGTTTCAAGCAGGACCGTGGGACGCCTGCGAAACACGAGAGCAGCTAGACGGTGACACAGCACCAAGATCATCAATGCCACTGATGAGCTTCTAGCCTCCAACGAATTCCACTTGGCGGGGCTTCGCAGCATTATTCAGTGCCTGGAGAAGAACACCGACGAGCTCGCCAAGGCTAACGAAGCACTGCACGCCCACATGACGAATGACAAAGTGCTGGCAGACATGGACTCAGTGCTAGAGTACGAGTACCGAACTGCAGAAGCATTTGTATTCTTAAACAATTCATCCAGGAGCGGGCTGTCCGATCATCAGTACCAGCCTGCTCCAACGGTGAGTTGCCGACTGACTCTTCTCTGCCGCGTCAAGCAGCCCCGTCAGATATTTTCCCCCGCACAAGAGCAAGGCTTCCTCAACTAGACCTAAGGAGATTCAACGGGTCCACCACAAAATGGCTACCATTTTGGGACCTCTTTCAACACCCCGTACACGAGAACCCACGTCTTAATGACGTCGATCGGTTTAACTACCTCCGATCTGTTCTTGACGGCACTGCGGCAAAGGCTATTGTAGGCGTATTGTTAACCGAGAACAATTATGAGAACGCCATTTCTATACTGAAGGAGTTGTTCGGAGACGCGCGCATGATTGAGCAGAGGCACCTCGGAAATCTTCGAACTCTACGTCCCGTCAATACGTCGGCGAACCCTAGTGTCCTGAGAAGCCTTTATGACTTTGTTCAAATCAACATAAGAAGACTTAAAGGCCTCGGCGTCTCAGAATCCTGCTGCCCTGCCATGTTGTGCGAGGTACTAATGAAAGTGATTTCACAAGACATTATGGTAGAATATCATCGACGACGGCGACTTGAAGCGTCAAGTGCGAACGAACCACCGAGCTCGGAAGAAGAACTTCGACAACTGCTCAAGTACATCAGCATCGAAATTGAGTGCAGGCAGCAGACTACCTACCAACTATAAATGTCAAACAGCAATGAACTGCAGACCTCCGGCAGCCGCAAGAATCAGCGATTGGCATCAGCGACAATCCTCAACAGTGCCGTTACAAAGAAGGCGCGCCTTGTTTTTTACCACAAATAACACCCAACGTTCTACTGTGATGCATCGCTTCCTGACTCGGAGAAAAGTCGTCTTCTGTCGACGACCGGCTGCTGCTTCAGATGTCTACCCCAAAACGACATCAAGCCAGAGATTCTCGACGGAATGTGAGATGCTCACATTGATATGGAAGACACGCTTCTTCAATGTGTTCTAGACAAGCTAGTAAAGCTGTTCAAATAATGACGTCACCACAACACGCTACGAGAAGTACATCCATGTACGCTGTGTCAGATAGCAATAGGAGGCTTGATGCAATACTATTGCATACCTTCAGAGGATGGATGAAAGGGGCGAAGGGTAGCTGCTATATAAGAGCCATCATGAATAATGGTATTCAGCGCACTTTCATTCAACAAGACGTTTCCAGGAAATTGAACCTGAAGGTTTTAGAAAAAATTGACATTACCGTCAGCGTGTTTGGAAGCAAACATGGTCACAGTGTACGTCGGAGACAAGTCGAAGTAACTTTACAAAGCCAGTCCGATAATATTCAGCATGTCATGGAAGCAATAGAATTTGAGCACATCTGTGAAGTGGTTGCTGAAGTACCAGAAGACCACGAATTCATCAGAGTTTCGAAATCGTCGTCAACAATTATCTGGTGCACTTTGCTTTCCGCATATTACCCAGGAAGAAGGCATCAACTTAATTGGCTCAGACCAATTTGGAAAGATTCTTGGGAACGAAGTCACTTGGCATAAAGATCGCAAAAGTCTTCTTTCTATTCAGACTGCACTGGGTTGGCAGTACAATTAACCTTAAAGATGCAACCATTCTTTCACTCACAAACGCAAACGTATGTGTACTACGGGAAGTTGTCGCATGAGCAAGGCCCTGATGTAGGAACTCATAGGCTCAGAACTACGAAAGTTCTGGCAGCTCGAAAGCTTCGGTAACACAGATGCGGATGAACCATTCTCCCACGATAAGAAGGTGCTGAAAGCTTTTAATGAAACTATTCAGCTGTGAGACGAAAGGTGCGAAGTCTGTCTGCCTTGGAAAGACAGGCAATATAACTGCACTGACCCAGAAAACTGCGTATAACAGCCGGACCATGCGAAGATACTGACACTACTGTGGAACACCACGTCATAGAGGCTAAGCTTGAACGTCGATCCTGTTCTTGAATGTCTAAAAGAAAATAAGCCTACGAAATGGTTCCTCTTACAGACTTCCGCTCGCTTGTTCGACCCTCTTGGCCTGGCAGCACCATTTTTAATACGCGCAAAAATACTTTTTCAACGCCTTTGACAAATACAACTTGTTTGGGATTGTGAAATTCCAATTCAACTTGCCCAAGAATGGGATATGTAATGCAGAGAAGTTCGTGACATCAAGAGTCTTTCAGTGCCCAGGTTTTGTTTGTCTATCAGTTATTTCAATTATGAGCTTCATGTATTCACGGACGCAAGCAAAGCCGCTTACAGGCTGTTGCTTACCTGCGGCACAACCGCGATGGTCCACCAGATCAGGTACTCATGGCAAAGGGCTAAGTTGCTTCCATAAAGCAGCTTTCACTTCCGCGGCTCGAGATTCTTGGAGCTTTATTGGGTGCCCGACTAGCAAAGTTCATAACTTAAGCAATGAAAATCACTTCTTCTAAACGCTGTTTTGGACCGATTCAACAGTGCCTTTGGGTTGGATCCGAGGCATCCCTATAAGGTGGCAGCATTTCGTAAAAAACAGAGTCACAGAAATCCAAGATTTCTCCGACTCTTCCCAACAGAACTGTTTTTCAGGAAAGGAGAACCCAGCAGACCTAGTTTCCCGGGGCACATCGGTGAAAAATGTAATTGACAAGAAGATTTGGTAGAAAGGACCAGTTTGGTTGGCCAGAATGGCCATCCAAACTGGTTCAGCAGAATGGCCTAAACACACGAATACTTATCTGAATGCTCTTCAAGATGATCTAAAAGGGAATCCGAAGTGGACATCATTACGCTCTCTTCGTCCTCGACATCGGTGAACGCTGTTTTTGACCTATCAAATTATAATTCCTGGTTGCGGGTGCTACGCGTCATGGCTTGGATACTGAGGTTCATCGCAGCCTGCCTTGACCAGCCAACCCCTCAAGGACACCAGAAGATGGAGAAACTTGTCGCCTCTGAAAGGTATTGGCTGTCCATTATTCAAAAGCAACGATTCGGCCGTGTAATAGCAGCCCTCCAGACTGAGCGAGATCTACCCAAGGCGTCGACAATTCGGTATTTGCACCCCTTTCTTGCACAAGAGGATGGATTTCTGAGAATTGAAACAAGGCTTCGGAATGTCGTGTGCCACGGGGGCATCAAACACCCGATTCTGCTTCCCGATCACCACATCGCCACTGAACTCATTGACACCGGCTTACACCAGAGGCTTCTGCATGCAGGAGTCGCAACAACCATCGCGGAACTCCGAGAGCGCTTCTGGGTGACGAAGGCGAAGCAGTGTGTGAAAAGAGGGACCAGGTACACCACCCGATCCCTCTTTTCACACACTGTCTTTTCACAAGGGTGAAGCCTGCGACAGCTCCTATGGCAGTGCTACCTGCTGACCGAGTGAATGTGTCCAAACCGTTTGACATTATTGGTGTTGACTTTATTAGAACAATGTACTTGAAAAGTTAGCCAACACAGATATCATACATCGTGCTATTCACTTGCGCGGTAATACGCGCTGTTCATCTATAGCTTATTTTAGGCTCAACAGCAGACAGTTTCTTGGAAGCCTTTCGGCGTTTCACTGCACAACATGGATTCCCTTCAATGATTGACTCTGTCAATACTTTGTGCTTTAAAAGTGCGTCTCGCGAACTTTGCGCTGTTTATGAGACTACTATTAGTAGTGATGTCAGCGATTATCTGTCTGCTCATAGCATCACGTGGAAAGTCTCTGCTGACCGTGCTCCTTGGTGGGGCGGATTTTGGAAGCGTATGGTGAGGTCAGTGAAAGACAACTTGAGAAAAGCTCTAGGAAGGTCTCTTCTAGATTATGATCAAATGAGCATGGTCGTAGCAGAAACTGAAGCGATCATAAATAGTAGGCCACGGACGTACTCGTATTCTGCACCAGAGGAACCAGTAGTCTTAACACCTGCCAAATTCTTACATAACAAGCGATTGACGGCGCTTCCCGACTTGCAAACTGCAGACGGGGTGCCCAGCTTCCATACAGAGCTTCTTAAAACTTGAATACAGCGACAAAAGCTACAGAAATAGTTCTGGAATCGCTGGTATGAGAAATATTTATTACTCCTTAGCAGCGCTCGTAATAGGCCAGTGGTGGGCACTACTAGTATTGCGGAAGGGAATATAGCGATAGTGCGCGATGATGCTCTGCCCAAGTTGTGTTGGATGCTCGCACGCGTTCTGAAGAACATTACTGGAAACGACAGCATTGTTTGTGCACGCCACCAAAAGCTAGCAGATGGCAAAATTGTAACGTGGCCTATTCAACATTTGTGTGCCCTAGAAATGCGCCCGCAGCAATTCGTGGGCTGGGAGTGTTAAAAACAGTGGGCATAGCGCGCACTAGAGGAAGAGAAGGACGAGGAGAAGCGTGTGGCACGGGATGGTTGTTAGATCTACACCACAATAAACGGCAGCGTCGAGACGCTCTGCTCTTCATATCCAGACGTATTCATCCTTTGAACCCCGTTTTATATGACAGAAGTCTTCGGATTTTACACCCCCTCTTGTTTTGAACCTGTGTGAGCGACCTTCCCACAGGGCGCGAGCGCCCTATTTGGGTTCTCAAGAAATTCGCAAGTGCATGTTGTGTGGACTTGGCACAGCGCCCCCTCCCAAGCGGCACGCTGGGCCCTTGTAGCCTCGTGCCCCCTTTTAGTTACGTCGCTCAGTGAATGCCAGCCTACTATACAGATATTATGATTATTCATGACGTAGTGGGTACCTAGAAACTGTGCTTGTAGCAGTTACCCAAAGAGCATTAAGAAAGAGCTCTGAAAGGCCGCTCTGTGAGCTTTCGCTGTAACAGTGATGTGCGTTCCACGCAGACCTGCGCTCAAAGCGCCGCACAGTCACAGCGAAAGCCAGAAAAGCGACCTTTAAGGGCCTTTTTTAACACTCTTTGGGTAGCTGCTGCAGGCACACCCATAGGGCATTCACTACGTCATTATACATTGTGTAATAGGTAGGCCTTCACCGTAGCATATTTGGGGCATTTTCGATGGAGGCGGAAATGCTGTAGGCCCGTGTGCTCAGATTCAGGTGCACGTTAAAGAGCCCCAGGTGGTCAAAATTTCCGGAGCTCTCCACTACGGCGTCTCTTGTAATCAATCGTAGGGTGGTTTTGGGACAGTAAACCCCACATATCATCACTATACCATCCTTCGTCATTCTTCGCAGAAGCGTGGTATGCGCTAAACACTTCCGACAATTTTCGAGTGAATTTCGTTTTATCGCGATTGCAATGATATGGACAGTCTCGGCTGGTTTTTTTTTTTTTGCCATCGCCGCCGCCGCCGATGCCATTAACTCGCAGCACAATTGAAAAAAACCGCAAGGGTTACTCAAAAAAGAACCAATGAATATTATTACTAGTACAGTGAACTATCCGATAAACTTTTGTTATAATTGTTAATTAGATATAATATGTGAAATAATGAAATATCTAATTCCAAAACTGCGCTTGCAATCGAAACATTGATGAGGCAGTGGTATAGTTAACCACGTGGTTAATCGCACAGCGCTATTTTCGACGTCGTACGAATGCCGTACTCAGTTTTTCTGAATGATAAACAATCCCCGCCAAATATGAAAAGTACCATGTGACAGCGCTTCCAGCCGCATCGCAAAGCAGTGCCCCCGAAGATGCTGATTGAAAGCAATTCCTTTGCCGATCACACATCCGAAGAGAAAGCGCATCCACTTGATTGTGATAAGAAGCCGGACCAAGTTACGCGGCTAATCAGTGATTCCTTCCGGTCGATTTTCTTACCCACCTGTTTTGACTTACTGATCCACTTAATCGATAAGAATGGCTTTCGACAGCATGGTCGAAGTGCTGCTCGTACCATAGATGAAACACGAAAGCAACAAAACATTGATTGATTGTTTGATATGTGAGGATCAACGTCCCCAAACCACCGTGTAATTATAAGAGCGCCGTAGTTAAGGGCTCCGGAAATTTAGACCACCTTGGGTTCTTTAACGTGCATGCAAATCTGAGCACACGGGCTTACAGAATTTTCGCCTCCATCGCAAATGCAGCTGCCGTGCCAGAATTCTATACCGTGACCTTCACGTCATGAGACGATTACTTTAGCCATTAGACCACCGCAGCGGGGCAAACTCAACAAAGTAGACGTGGAATAATTAAAAATATAGGTTTTGCTCCCACACTACTAAAAAAAAAGTACGATAGTATTGGATAACTTCTAGGTATTAAGAGTTTGTGGCATATGTTACCAGTATAGTAGTAAGTGCAGTTAGTAACGGCAATGGTGGTAACTCTTACTACGTCTCCCATTTCTAACGGCTTTAGTAACTGTTACTACTCTACCCGTTACGAATTCTTGGTAGAAAGTTTGGAGGTTTAAAAAAAAAGAAATGTAGTAACCGATACTGTGCTCTTTAAGGGGTAAAGTTCCTAAAGCCATGGGTCGTGCGTCCACGATGTATGTAGTAGTAGTAGTAGTAGTAGTAGTAGTAGTAGTAGTAGCAGTCGTGCGTCGTAGTAGTAGGAAGCCACCTCCACGGCCGGATGCGCCACGTGTGCACTCATTTGAATCGAGGAGGTAACCCGCGCACGTTATTCATATATAAAAAGATAGTTGTTTCTGGTAAAATAACTTACAGAGACGAGTATCGGGGACTTAATCTTTTATAAAATTTGCCTTGAATTTGATGCTCTGTAAACAAAACTAGTATCAGTTTGCATTTTGAGCACTATTTCACCAGAAAAGGTTGCCACGTTAAACTCGCTGGACGTAATCTTTTTGGTTATAGCAGGGTGTAGCGAGGGTTGGGCCGTAGTGCCAGGAACTAAAGGCAGTGCAAGGTGGCGCTGGCTGTAAGAAGCGCAGGCTGCAAGAAAGTGCGTGAGTGCCGCTCCTCTAGTCCAGCCGTGCCATCTCTCGTTTAGTCCTTGAAATGTACGACGGACGGCGGTACTTATACAGGATGAATATATGATGAAAAGATGCGAGATGGTAGTGCTTGGAGTGTACACTGGATGGATGGACAGACAGACAGATGCACGGAAGGATGGATGAACGGAAGCACCGACCAACGCACAGGCGCATGGATGATTGTATGGACGGACGCACAGATCGACGGAAGCAGGGACGGACGGAAGCGCGGACGGACTGAAAGATGCTTCGCCCACTCATCATGTCGCACTCCGTCGCTATGCTGCGAATTTTCGCCACATTATTTCCATAATGTTAAATTGAATAATTTTTATTATTACTACACAGTTTCGGGGTATATTGCGTGTTATCTCGTTAACGCGAAGACTACCTATCTGTAAGAAGTACACTACTTTGCAGTAATAAGTAAACGACTCACGTATTATATATAACCCCTACTTTAAGATTCATGTCTGGCACAGATGAGCACTTGTGTTTCATGATGAATTATAAAAAATTTGAGCCTAGAGCAACGTACCGTTCCACCTGGTTATGTTTATTTGGGGACGTAGCACGAGACATTTAATCAACCCTACTTTTAAAAAACGATATGCCATATCTCTGTGTTATAATAGTGCCACAAGAAAGCATTATTTACAGGGGCCGAAACAAGGTGCCGAAGTCACTAACATAGTCTCACTGCAATTGAATAATTTATTACGCTAATATTTTGGCGGTTAGAAGGTAATAATATTTCCTGTGATTTTAAATGCCAAAATGACAATATTATTAGGAGGCACGAGGTAATGAGGGACTCCAGATCAATTCATACTATCTGGTTCATTTTGATCCGCTTGTCAAGCAAGGTTTTTCTAATAGAGTAAGTTTGATTTAATTGAAAATACAACGCGTGCAGAACTTGCTTATGGTCCGTTAACTTGTACTTCCCCATTTCTTATAATAGGAAAATGACGCTTACATAAATCGGTTGCATAATTGAAAATAAATGATTTTTTATCCGAGGATATATATTGCGTCATTTTTGCGTTTAAAGATTATACGTTGAGAGGATTTTTCTCAGAAGTTATTAGAATATGTATTACTTATTATATTAAATCACATAGTACTTAGCCATGTAGTAAAACGGTAGTGAAGTGCAAAGATAAAGTAACGGCTTCAGTTACTACCTGTTTCATTCCGGCTACTAGCTCTTTATTAACGTAGGTAGTAAACAGGTTGCAAAAGGTTAGTAGCTTTCCCAGAAAGGTAGGAAGCATTGCAGTTGTCACCTACCTGCTTGCAGGTACTACCTTTTGTTACCTTTTTTAAGAGTGCAACGCAATGGAACATGCACGTCCAGCTATATCTTGCGTCAGAAAACCACTTTGGAATAAGGCCAAATTAATGTTGGTGCTGATTTTTTATA